GTTCCCAAATCGGTTGGAGAGGGGAATTGAACATTCTTTATAAGGGTGTGGAAATCTTTCCCTAGCAGACGCATTTTAAAAACTTTGAGTGGAAGTCAAGAAAAGAAAGCCCAAAAAGGACAATATCTGCTAGCATTGGGCTTGGGCCGTTACACTAGGAGTATTCTTTTCCCACGTCATTCCAACCTTAAACATCTGGAGGACGAGTTGGAGGTTTTGGAAATCTTATAACATAATTCAAACACATTGTCTTGAATGACATTATATGCGAAGAGTATGCTAAGTAAGTTTTGATTTCAATTCTTCTCCAAACCTAGCTCGTTTCTAAAGAAGCGCATAATGCAGACACTATGACCATATATGTGTTTGAAATATATGAATGTGTTGTACAGAGAAGGAAAAATGACTGACCTGTTACAGGGTATCCATTAGCTGGGGTTGTTCAATCAAATCACTTCACTAAGTCTGCTACGGGTGTGGGATAGCGGTACGTTCTCTAGTTATAAATTTAGTCACGGCCCCTTCTTCTTTCGATCACTGGAGCAAAAATTACAAACCGAATGTGAATATACCGCTAGCATAAATATAATGATCGAATAGAGATTCTAGCTTTACATCAGTTCAAAGATTACCATGGCTCTAAATGAGGCTAATTTGAGCCTTGATCTGAATAAGCACTTGGCCTTGAGATTTCTCCCTTCAATCTACCTTAATCAGTAGAGCAGAAATGGCTGATAGGCAAATAACATACAATCTCACCAGGCCCTCCATTAATGTAAGTCAAATTTCGGATACTGAAGGCTCGAGAACGTTACCAGCTAGCTTCAGCTGACCATCTAATTCTGTCAGTATAAAGTATATTTTGTCAGAATCGGGGTGACAATCTGCTGAAGCTGAAAACTGATGAATTCTCCCTTCCAATTCGATCCAACTTGACCCGGGATATTTCTTTTCTACTCCGTTTTCTTTCATCATTGCTCGGATATGAGCAACCTCTATCCAGTGTTTTTCTTCAGCATACATGCTAACCAAAAGATTGTAATGTCCACTGTTCTTGGGCTCCAAAATATTCAACCGTCGAACAGCATCTTTCGCAATCTCCGAGTTCCCATGAAGCTTGCATCCATTCAACAAAGCTCCCCAAATGATAGAGTTCGGTTCAAATTCCATACCGTTAATCAATTCTAACGCTTCATCGAGCAATCCCGCTTTACTCAACATATCAACCATGCAACCATAGTGTTCAACTTCGGGATGGATACCGTAATCACGAATCATGCTCAAGAATCTACTTCGGCCTTCTACAACTAATCCAGCATGTGTGCAAGCGCTTAATATGCTAATAAAGGTAACACCATTGGGCATGATCTTCTCCCTCTCCATGATAACAAACATCCTCAGCGCCTTCTCCGCATATCCATGAACAGCGAGCCCTTCAATTACTGCATTCCAGCAATATAAATTTTTATCCTTCAATTTGAAGAAAACCAAAAGTGATCGATCTAAACTCCCGCACTTAGCATACATATCAACTAATGCAGATCCAATATAAACATCGAGATTAAGCCCTCGAGACATTGCGTAATGATGTATCTCTTTTCCTAGCTCAAGAGCTCCAACGTGGGCACAAGCTGAAACAACAGTCGACATTGTTACCTCGTCGGGAATAATCCCATTCAATCTCATGTCGCCATAAATCATCAGCGCTTCTTCATATTGCTTGTTCTGAGAATAACAAGTGATCATAGTTGTCCAGGAGATTATATCCCTAGCCGGCATCTGATTGAAGAGAAACTCTGCAGACTCCACATTTCCCAATCTTGCATAGCCATCAATCATGGTATTCCAAGTTGCAGTATTGCTTTCAGGCATTTCCTCAAATAACTTCCTAGCTGAATCCATATCTCCAGCACGAGCTAGAGCTGAAACCATAGTAGTCCATGCAAAAGTATCTCTTTCACGCATTTCATCAAACACCTTTCGCGCATCCCCAAATCTCTCCAAATTTGAGTACAAATCAATCAGAGAAGTTTGAACAAACACATCCAATTCCAGCCCATGCGTCCAAATTTGACAATGGATCATCCGTCCCAAATCAAGTGCACACATACAGGTGCAAGCTTTAACTAAAGACGAAAACGTATAACTACTTGGCAAAACCTGCGATTCTAGCATATGAACATAACATTGTATAGCTCGAAATGGATACCCACAATATACAAATCCCCTAATCATCGCATTATACACAAAGACATTAGGATTTTCCATCTGGGTAAAGGCCAAAACAGGGTAATCTACAGAGTTGAATGTTAACGACGCGCTAATAAACTGATTCACTAAAAAGCAATCTTGGGTTGCATTAGCTTTGATCATTGAAGCATAAATACCATCCAGTTCGTTTATTGTGGAGCAGTTTTTGATTCGATCAAGAAGAGTTTGCTTGAAAGTAGGAACATACGGTCCTTGAAGAGTTCTTGAGGTTGAAGAACTTACGAAGTTGCTAATGCTTCTTGTTATCTGTTTAAGAGCGTTGGTAGGCGTGATTGAAAACATCGCTGCAGCTATTCTCCATCGCCATTTAGCTGAACCATTCTGGAAACTAGAGAGGCCGAGAGATCGGCTTTTCTGCGTATATTTTGGAGTGGGTGAACGCGAACTCCATCCTCCTTGTTCTTAATTTCTCTCATCTCCCGCCCTCTTCCCTTTTAACGGACAAAATAGAATTTAAATCCCATTTTAGTTTTTTTTTTTTTCTGTTTTCGTTGCATTTAGTTTCTAATTATTCTTATATTATTCTTATATGGACACACTCTCTACAATGGTACGATTTTAGTATAAACTCTCATTGCTTTGTTTTGGACTTCCCAAAAAGCCTCGTAACAATGGAGATAGTATTCTTGATTATAAACGGGCTTCCTAAAAAGCCTCGTAACAATGAAGATAGTATTCTTGATTATAAACTCATGATCATTCCCTAAAATAGCCGACGTGGGACTTTCATCCAACATATATTAGTTGAGAATCTAACTGACTCGAACTATCCGACATAAAATATAAAACTAAGTTGAGCTAAAAAAAAGAATTTTAAATTTGGGTTGGATTCAATTTTTGAAAAACTCAAAATTTAGGTCAGTTTGCTGATTAATATTTTTTAAACTCAAAAATAGAATTACAGTTACAGCCTAATTACTCAATCTTACCTTAATTTTAAGATTATTACAAAAATTAAAAATATTTGACATGTATAACCAATATTAGTGATATGTTGTGACTTGTGAACGTTTGATATTTAAACTTTATGAGATTTTAATATTAATGCAACATTTATTGTATATGAGTGTGATTTTTTGTAATATTAAAAAAAAAAAACAACCCGACAACTTAAAAATAGGGTTAGAACCTTGCCCCTACCCTACTTTTAAGATTATTATGAAAATGAAAAATATTTGACGTTTGTAACTGATGTCACTAGTATTAGTAATGCATTGGTGACATGTGAATATTTGATATTTGAGTTCTACTAAATTTTTGTTATTAATATAGCATCGTGGATAATTATAATTTTTTTAATACCCAACTAACCATGTGTAAACTACTGAATTTAACATCATTTTGCCTATATATATCAACAAGGATGTCTATTCGATTTGATTCAAGAATTCCATGAGTTCGTATAATAAGATGATCAACTGAACCTTAGCACCAGCCTTGAGGCCATCGGTTTTGATAATCCCATCCCTTGAACCATTTCTTCTTCGAGTTCGATCCCAACAATGTCTTCCTCTTCCCTCTCCACGGTAAAGACAACTTCGACAAAAACAAACTCCCTTTCACGTACCTCGACTTCTTGAGATGTCGTAGTCGAGGCGTGTACGAGACGGGCAAGTAATAGCTATTCTCATCCTCTTCTAGAAGAGGAAAGATTTCGTCTCGAGTATGAGCGGAGTTGAGCTTGAGATACCTAAGTTCAAGAGTCTCATGGGGTATGTTTCTAGCTAGCAAAGGAGAAGCTCCACCCCAATTGTTCTTGCCAAGAGAAGGGTGTTGTGGTGTTCTAAATTCTAGTATGGGCCTCATTTGCTTCACTCACCAATACTCAACCAACCATTTTCAGTTGGTTTTTGTAGTGAGAATCTTGGTTTTGTCTGTCTTTTTTCTTGTTCGTAGATATCAATGGGAGCAAACTTCCAAGAACTCCATTGGATTCTTCAAATTAGCCTTTAAATTTAGATAAGTTTCTTTATTGGAGACGTAAAATGAAGCTTGTTTGCTTTGCTAGAAGAATTATGAGCCAAATGGAGGTGAGTATTACAAGACATTACATCTTGTTTTCATTTGGCTGTACATTGTTATAGTTTCGTTGCTAAATGTATTAGAATTGTGACACCCGAGTAAAGAAAGAGTATATGAATGAACCGAGACTATATCGAATAAGAACGCAATCTTAAAGATATGATTTGACTTAAAAGAATTGAAAATTAATATATATGTATACAAAATACATCTTCATTTTCGAGCAATTTTATGTAGGTTGATCTCCTTAGAATTTTTTAAAGACGCATGAGCGAAGAAAAAATATATGGAAAGAACTCAAGTTGGTCTAGAGAGACCGTTTTTACTCTTAGAAATAAGAAATAACGTAATCGTAAGTAAACCTAAGAGAATGTTTGAGCATTTAGGTAATGGATACACATTCCAAATCCTGATCTGCAACATCCTAGAGGGGAACAAAACATTCTTAACAAGAAAGCTCTTCTTGACAAATGCATTTTAAAAACCTCGAGGAGCAACCTAAAAGGAAAAGTCCAAAGAGGATAATATCTGCTAGTGGTGAATTTGGACTGTTACAATGATACTACAGTCATACCCAAATAAGGTGGATGGTGAAATCTCCATTAGTTGAAAAGAAGAACAAAACATTCTTTACATAACAATATCGACTAACAATGGCTTAAGACTCTTAAAAAAATATTTAGAAGTGACTCTTGGAAAGAATATGTAAAAGATTTATAATGCTACAATAGTACATACTCCTTGAATTCAATACTGAATGTTCATAAATAATATGTTACTTTCTTTCATGAATATTTGAAACTACCCTCCTAGTGCTATATATCCGCACAGATAGACAATGAGGTGACACCAATTCTGTGAAGGGTAATGAATCAATCAAAACAAAAGGTGTTCATTCAAGTTAGGACTTTCGTATTCTAGGTTTATGGTTAATTTACATTACTGAGGCTATGAGCTTGGCAATTGAATTGTGTAACCACTACACTACGAGGTTAGATGCTGGGAAACAAAATGGACCATCGCTGGCGTGCAACAACAACAAGCAACTTTTCAGCTCCAAAGTTCTTCACTCAGCTTCTGCAAGTCGAGCGCGTATCGTCTCGGCACTCGATAATTTATCGATGCTGCAATAAGAAACCAGACAGGTTTTTGCATTTAAGTAACCCCTCGTCGGAGAATCATCAAGTTTTTGCAGAAGGTCTATTATGATAATTTTCCAATACTATGTAAGAAACGCTTACCAGAGTAATACATCACCACTGGATGCCAACTTCTCAGAAATCCATTCGGGAACCAGTTCTAGCAACAAATTTATCTGTTCTTCAATTTCCTCTACAAGTAAGAACATATGAAATGAATCAGAATCAGCTCCAGACAAGCTAAAATAAAATGGAATGTAATTATAATAGGTGCGTTATTTGCTTACTTTTGTCAACAATGTCCATGTTGCCAACGATTATTTTGTATATTAGCTCCTCCCTGGTAATAACTGTGCGCTTGTGGAACAAGAAGAAGATAGCATTGAAGAGTTTGGGTAGGCTGGCAATCATTTTCTGTCGTCTCTTAGCTTGAGATATTGCCGGCATTTGTTCTTCTTTGATCTTCCTTTCTTTCTCTCTGATCTGCAAATTGAGAACACGAGAAATTATTAACATAAATTGCCATGCTTGACTGCAAATGGAAGTTTCAATCAAGCACAAAATAAGAGAGAATTGCTTATAAGATAGGGAATGGTCATACCGATTGCACAAGGCTCTGAGGTAGAATATCTAAAATGTCATCGTCAGGTGATGCACATCTTGTAAGATCTTTTTGATCATCATTTTTATCTTCCTTTGTGGGAGTGTCAAATACAAGTGATCTAGAGCGGGGAGGACGTCGAACCAACTTGTTTGCTGAGCGAGAAGAATCATCATCATCGGGACTCATGGAACTTCTTTTTGGTGGAGCCATTGCAGGTGTGCTAGCCATCAGACGAGCGGGGGTCGAAACAAGCTTTGCAGGAGTTGATTCTATATCACTAGTTTTTGCAGTTGGCTCATCTTCATTTGTAATGGCTACTCTAGCTGCCATATTACTGGGAGTAGTGGGAAGGGGAAATGCTGAAGAACGAAGTGGAGAAGCATAGTTTTCAGGACAATTTGAATTGCAGGTTGAGTTGGAAGGTAGTTTAACAGGGGAGAAAAGCATAGATGAAGATTCTGTCTCGATTTTTGTCTCGGCATCGGAACCAAATGGAATTTGATCAGAACGCTTAGAAGCTTGGCCAGTTTTCTCCATTTCTCTGCTACCTTTTTGAGAGAAACGCCGGGTAAAAGATGGTGAAAAATGAGATAACCCCATTAATTCCTTCTGTTTACTTGGGCCAGTAACAGTCATGGTAGATTTAATTATCCGAAAACCTTGATTTTCGTTTGAATGATCTTCTGCAACACTTGTTGATGAAATTGCTGGTTGCTCAGCGGCCAATTGCTCAATTGGTGCCTTGACAGATGATAAAAAGTTGGTTTTTGGAAAAAGATCTTGACTTGAGCAATTGAATGGCTTTGGAAGCAAATCCTTTGGAACATCATCAATCTGAATATAAAAACATATCTTAGAATGTTAAAATTTGAAGACGTGGGATACAATACTTCCAAAATACTACAGGAGAAGATTGACTTCCAAATTGAATAAGAAAAATCAAGCCATCAAGAGTGGTCATCAAATAAATGATAACCATAAACTTCAGTGACCAGAATGCTATCAATCCTTGATATGATCACCAACTTAATTCCTACACTACACAAATTGGGACAAGCACATCCAGCAGGCATCATCAATGCATTCTGTTTTAAGACATTCTGTAGCAACTAGAAATCAGAGCAAGCACTAGCAAATAATAAAGGGATCCCAAGTTCACATTTAAGACCAGTAACTATAGAGAGAATTAACATTCTAGGATTCATGACCACAAACACAAACAAATACTACATCCACAAATCAGAGAAGGAAACTGCAGCATACCTCTGGATGGGAACTTGCAAACTCTGAAAGCCGTGCCTTGAACAACTTTCTCAATTGCATATACTGGTTTCCTGTTTCAACGTCATCCTTATTATCTAGCACGCCAAAATTGAAAGATATGTGAAGATCTGGTTTCATACAACTGGTCCGCTCATCAAAGATCAGGACCTTCTTAAGCTCTATTGCTTCAGGTACAATAAACTTCATTTGGGCCAAATGACCATATGAAAACCTCCTGCACTCGCAGCCATCAAAGTTCAGAATCGGAAAACACAACACAAGGTCTAGAGATGCTCTCATGAGTAGTAAATAAGTCAAATAACTAATGGCCAAAAATTAAGTACGAATGAAGGTTTTGAAATCAATCTTATGAGGCTTAACTTCCTATATCAGAACAAAGACAATTGCACTTCACGAAAAAAATAATCATATATTTAGAACAAAGTCCATAGGCGTCGTTTCTTAATTAATTATCATTACAAACAAGCATTATTTTGTTACAAGCTGACAATAGAGGATCTAACAAACTTCTTCAGTGTTACTTAGGCACCTAAGTAAGATTCAAAATACTAAATTATCTACAGTATCAACACATAAATTGACCATGGCATCCGATGAAGGAGAGGAAAAGTCAATGTAGAAGGCAGAATGAGTACCTATCAGTAAGGACTTCGATCTTGGGACACACATTAGAGAAGTTGGATGCCACACCTTTAAATCGTAACAACCGCATTACAGAGTCCAAGCTATCAAAGAACTTGCTCAGAAATTCAAATCTGCAAACACCAAAGTAACAACATTCATTCACTAAACATTGATACTAGATCTAAAAGCAACCAGCCATCATAATCCAAATTCAAGATCAAGAAACGAAAGACTTACTTCTCAGGCAACTTCTTATACTTATCTACCGAAGTCTTGAATCTACTAGATGGACTTTCATTCGACCACGAATCTATCTGCCTTCTGACCGATTTACTCCCTTCAGTGGTCAGATCACGAGGCAGCTGACGATTAGATTCACGGACACTCTCGGCAGCTCGCCGCACCTCTTTGATTGAAAGCGCAACCTTACGGCTCCTAGTTCTGGTAGAGAGCTCCGCCGACTTCTCCGGCGTCTTGGAACTCAAAGATTGTTGATCCTGAAGTAAGGATTTGGAGTTGGAGCGCAAAGTTTTCTTCGATTTGAAGGGTAAAGATGATGATGGAGAAGAAATCTTCTCGGAGGCGTCCATTGTTACCGATTGGAAGAGATGGGAAAGGGCAAAGAGAAAGAGGTGATTTAGGGTATGAAATCTGAGGAGCTTTTATATATGGAATGAATTTTGGCGGGAATGGGGAGCTAGCGCTGCTCTATGGCCTGCCACGTGGTCTCCCGCCAAAACAGCCCGTTCGATCCCGCGCAAATGTCCGATGATGTTTGGGAGCTGGGTTAGTATAGCCGGACTACGAACGGATTTACTGGGACTACGTATAAGCCAGCTTGAGGGAACGTTGGTTCCCGCCAAATTCTTTCGGCTTGTTCGGAATATGGATTAGTCTATCCTGATTGTTTGGATTCCCTTCGATCTTGAGGAACGTGGGCCAGCCTGGATTTTCTTTAATTATATTTTGTGTGAATAATTTTTTAAATAATTTTGTTGATTTATTACCCACTTAATTTTAAAATTATAAATTTAATGTAGTGTCGTATTTAAATCTATAGCTAATATATCAATTAATTTTTAAAGAATGTCAAATTTATTAACGATTTATTAAATATAAAATTCAAATTTTTTAGATTTATTTTATATTTTTTAAAGTTCATAAATCACTTTATTTATAATTTAACTTCAATAGTTTTTTTACGATTGGTTTTTTTTTTTTTTTTCTTTCAAAAAAACCACTCGATTTTTTTCTAATTTTAGAATTTATTTGTTGCCTTAAATGTAAAGCTTATGATAATATTTAAATTTTATCCCTAATCAGTTTTGATGGAGAAAAAATGGAAAGGATATAAAATAATAAATATATATATTATATTAATGAATAGTTATCGGACGTAAGAGAAATATAGTTTATGGTTAGATCATAATCAATAAATTATTTATTAGAAGATCAGTGATATTTAAAGTATAATATAACATCTCATGCCTAAGATTCAGCACCTCGTGGCCCTGACATTCTCCTACATCCCTTACAACATAGATGCGTTACTTACTCCTTGCTTATTAGAGTGAATGATGTCCCCACGAACTAACATGAGTTCTTCCAACGTGGTTTATTCTTACTCACGTGCATCCTAGGAAAAATCTTAATAGGTCACCCAACAAAACACGCTTAATCATAAAGTTCCTATGATTAAACCATTGAAACGGAAGATGTACCTTATTGATGCCCAAATTGTAACAATGTGTTGTGCAATGCATAATAGTGCAGCCCTAACCATAGGCGGAAGTGAACTTAAGTTAATAGACTAATTAATTAATTTTGTATCATTAGAGCTTGCAAATTATATGTTCATCTAGTTGTATAATTATGCACAATAACAAACTTGAATGATTGTAAGGAATGTCATGATTTCCTCGATATATTGGCGCATTTTTCGATGTTAAATGTTGAGAAAATATCAATCCATATGTCGAGAAAAACATCGAGAAAAGGTGGTGTTATAATAATTATTGTATGAACTTTTAAAATTCTCTTGATGTTATATTTTACCTCAATCGAAGATTACACTTTTCCAAAGAAACGTGCTAGAGAGAGGAAATCACGTTGTCATTGTCGCTTGTACGTGACTCACGTTGAAGACATGTACCACCACTAATAAGTTTGGGTGTTTATAAGACATCGTCGATATGGATCTTAAATTAGATGAATGGTCATGGTGGCGAGTGTCGTCATCGTGGATTCATTGAAAGAGATGATAACATAGGAGTGTTCAACAACGAGAGAGCAACCCAAATAGAGTTCACAATCCAACTCAATCGAGCCTTGTATTTTCAGATTGGGTTGTCGGGTGTTTTTTAAATACCATTTAAAAAAAAAACTATTTATCTACAATAAACGTTAAATTAATAACTAAAATCTCATAAAATTCAAATATCAAACATTTATCAGTCACAACGCATCACTAACATTAATTACGAACGTTAAATATTTTTAATCTTTATAATAATTATTAATTTTTATAATAATCATTGGTTGGGTTGACCACAGAAAAAAAAGTCAAATGAGTTTTGGGCCTTGCACTCACCATTCACCAACCAAGTTGTAGCATGTTCCTTTGGGCCCAGAGCCCATATAGCAGCCCAATTTCAATATAAAGAATCCTTTTTAATAACAACAACAACAATAATAAATATATATTGAAAAAAAAAAGATTCTATTTAAATAGTTATACTATTTTATCCTTAAATTAAAAAAAAAATATATATGTATGTTAATTTTCAATTATGTGACCCATATGTCTTTAAATCGTAAAAAAAATATTTAATATTCCATTATCTATTAATTTTATGTATAATAAATGAATTAAAATTTAAGAGATTTAAATTTAGAGACGTATTAAATAAATAAAATATTAAAAAAAAAAATTAAACTGAAAATATCTGATCTGAGTTATAGAATGTGAGCCCTTATTTTTTAATTAAGCTAATGATTTGAAGGTGATATACAAAAAGTGGAGCAACCCAAATGAGCAGACTGTTCGATTAAGGCTACCGAGAAGAGAAGCAAAGAGACGACCCGACTTCACGTTTCTTCAGGGACTCTCATTTTTATTTATTTTTTGTTTCTTAATCCGAAATTCGAGCTATGTAAAGATTGGAAGCACACAATCGAACTCTCGACTCAGTCCAACTCATAACACCCGATTAATTCTGTAAAATTTCTTCTTCCCTTGCACGCAACCCCTTTCATTTTCCACTTTGATTTCGCCTTGTTTCTATCGATTTCCTTCAGTTCTTTGATTCCCGGCTGCTGTTTTTGGGGGTTTTAATCTCTCCCGATCATCTGAACCACTAATTTTGACTTGGGTTTGTCTTATCTTCATCTGCTTTCAATCCCTTCATTCATGTTTCTTTTGAAGGTAATGTTTGTGGCTAACCCTGTTCCTTATTTTGCTTCCTTTTGATTTTTTTGATATCATTTGTTTGTGTTTATCATGTTATGTTCTTTGTTTGAGCTTGAATGTTTGTGAATTGGAGCGTTTAGAACTAGCTTCCTTTTGAATTTGTAGACGAGAATTGAAATTTTTGTACTTAAAATGGGGTTTGATGATTCATGTATTTCTTTTTCTGGCGTTCTTCATCAGCAAATTTCTGGCGTTTTCTGTTTATCCCTCTCAATGATTTGTGGGTTTTGTGTATTTTTTTGCTATTGATTATGGCCTTTGATTCGTGTTGCAAGACCATTTGGATTCGGCCTTTGATTCGTGTTGCAAGACCATCTGGATTCTTTCCCCCCTTCCACTCCTTTCTCTAAATGCATAATTGTCTATATTCAGACTTTTCAAGTATTCCATCTTTCGTTTGTGCTTCCCTAGCTTGCTTCTGCGAGATCCCACCTCGATTGGGGAGGAGGAGGGAGAATGAAGTATTTTTTATAAGGGTGTGGAAGCCTCCCCTAGCAGACGTGTTTTAAAAACATCGAGGGGAAGCTTGAAAGGGAAGGCCTTAAGAGGACAATATCTACTAGTGGTGGGCTTGGGCCGTTACAAATGGTATTAGAGCTAGACACTGGATGATGTGCCAGCGAGAAGGCTGAACCTTGAAGGGGGTCGACACGTTGTGGTGTGCCAGCGAGAAGGTTGAACCTTGAAGGGGGTCGACACGTTGTGGGGTGCCAGCAAGGACGCTGGGTCTCGAAAGGGGGTGGATTGCAGGGTCCCACATCGATTGGAGAAGGGAACGAGTGCCAGCGAGGATGCTGGGCCCCGAAGAGGGGTGGATTGTGAGATCCCACCTCGGTTGGGGAGGAGAACGAAACATTCTTTATAATAGTGTGGAAACCTCCCCCTAGCAGACGCGTTTTAGAAACCTTGAGGGGAACCCTGAAAGGGAAAGGCCAAAGAGGACAATATCTGCTAGCGGTGGGTTTGGGCCTTTACAAATGGTATCAAAGCCAGACACCAGGCGATGTGCTAGCGAGGAGGCTAAGTCCTGAAAGGGGGTCGACACGTTGTGGTGTGCCAGCAAGGATGTTGGGCCCCGAAGGAGGGGGGTGGGGTGGATTCTTGGAGGATGATTACGTAATTCTTAACTTCCATTTTCGGCCTTGTCGATTCTTGGATAAATGATATAATTGGTGAATGAGTTAAGATTAACTCGTTCGGGAACTTCATCCTAAAGACCCTTCCTCTTCGTTTTCTTGAAGTATTTTTACACGTTCAGATTGTCTAAACTCTTATTAAATTGCTAGTTAAAGTGTTTTTGACATGACCATTTTTTTGGTATCAAGTTTTATGTGAATGGCTATACTTACCATCTGAAGTTAAATACAACATGATAGTTGGATTTTGTTATATTTTTCCTCTCTAAACTATCTTCCGTCATACATTATTATTTTGATCTGGGTAGCTCAAGCTTTTCTTATTGCTATCTCTTTCAACTACTTTCAGTTAATGGACTTGCTGTATCGACCCACTGTCCATCTTAGTGAATGATGCTCAGTGGAACACGGGATGCAGATAATGCTGGAATTTTTAGATGGAAAGCCCGTGGTGAATCGTCTTTAACATCTTCGTTGCTTAAGGATGTGGCGCCAGAGATCGAACTATCTACCTTTGGACGGGTGCCAAATCTTGGTAGTGAGAGCCCTACCGAGCTTCTCGATGGGGAACGCTTAAACGTGGAACCAATAGCTGACTTGGACCTATTCTTTGAAAGGCTCTATAGCTATTACTGTGACAAAGGGCTTTGGTGCATCATAACAAAGTGGATAGTAGAGCTTTTGAGTCTTGGTTTTACCATATGTTTCTCAGCTTTTTTCTTACTATTCGTTGATTGGAACGGTCTTCGTAATGCCAAGTGTGGGATGGATGCAGTGGAGTCTGGAACTAAACCATGTGATCTTGCCAAGGAAGCTCTTCACGAGCACCCCTTACGCCATATGACAGTTTCGAAAGCTATAATCATTGGATATTTGGGCATATTTTCTGTTTATTGGACCTTTTGCTTTTTAAGGTTTTTTGCTCAGCTAAAGGACATTCTAGGAATCCGTCACTTTTACTACAACAGGTTCGTTGAACAAATTTTACCAATGCTTATAAATGACTTTACTTAACCTA